GAGCTCTGCAGTGTGTAATTTCAGCTTTCTGCCACCTTTTTTCTGAATTCTCAGACAAGCTTTATAAATTCAGCACTCTGAACAGAAAAGAGAAAGAGAAGACTGTAGATAGACAGGTACAACTTATGTAGGAGAATGTGTTTAATCTCTGTGTATCACCTGAGGCCAGTCACTTCCCTGGGTATGTGTAAGGGTTTACAACACCTAGTGGGCAGTACTCAGGGGATTGGAGGGAACTAATTATAGGACAACTGTACTTAAGGCCTTTACACTTGAAGTCTTTTGGATATGGGAATTCAAACTCATGACCCCACAGTTAGGCATTCACCAACATATGCAATGAGCCCCAGACAGAGCAGATATACGATATTCTAGTAGACACTTATCACTTGTTTTGTATTTGAAGACAAAGCTTCTGTCCGAATGCAGCATGCCTTGCTTAAAACCATTTATATTTGCAATAGCAATTGGAGAATACTAAATATGTCACAAAAACCCCAGCTCTACAAACTCCATCTTAAAGGCAATCCCACAACAAAGACCCAAATTATTATATGATAACAATTAAAGGTACGGGAGTGAGGATATAAATATAGGAGCTGCCACTGCTGGAATTTAAAGTGCAAAACTGTGCTGTTGTCTACCATATATCCTTCTTTCATCACTTGGTAAGTCACCAAAATAAGTTTGCAGATTTAGTACTGATTTGTGTGCCTAGATACATTATCCAAGTCTTTAACTTTTATTCAGAAACAAGTTGGGTGGCAATGGCAGCACCCATATCTCTTTCCTGACAGGTACTCTGTAGCATTGGAATGACAGCTCTCTTGGCAATCTGATAGAGCAGGAGCCATGTGTATTTTATTCATGGATATACAGTATATATTAGCTTGTTACCTGGATATAACTCTTTCCCATAGCTACAATATTTAGCAACAGGAATCAAGAACAGAAACGTCATTGTTGTGTGTGCCTGCGTACTGTTGAGCTATACCTGTGATCAACCAGCTATGACTGAAGAGTTTGACCTTGCTTATAATGCTAATAGATCATCAGCCACATCTGAAGGATTCATATACAGTGATACCTCAGTTCATGAACTTAATTCGTTCCACAACTCTGGTCGTGAACTGACTTGGTCGCGAACCGAGGCAGATCTTCCCATAGGGTTCAATGTAAATCAGGTTAATCTGTTCTGACCCCTATGAACGTAGTTGTGAACCGAGTTTGGTTGCCAACTGAATCAAATTTTCCCCATAAGGTTCAATGTAAATAAGGTTAATCTGTTCTGAACGTTTTTTTTATTTGTTATTGAACCACAAAAATATGAAACAAAGTACAGTACAGTATGAAGAGAGAGAACACTAACCTTGCTTGAGACAACTTCTGGCGTGGAGGACAGGAAGGCGGGTGGGAGATGGTTATTGTTGAACACAAAGAGCTTCCTGCACTGCCACTTTACCACAAAAAACACAAATAAACCTGAACCACAAAACCAGGAATGGCTGCTAGCACCCAACTATAACACCAAATAGTGGAAAACAATGTGACAAAGGTGGTGCTGCACTAATCCTATATATGGTGTAAATAAACTACATAACACTAATAAACAACTTCAGGGTCTGTCTGTGATCGTGATCTCGCCTACAGGAAGTCACGACCACCACGTGTCTGAGCAGGGAAGATGGCCTTGTGTTCGTGAACTGAAGCAGAGTTCACGAACCGAAGCAAATGTTTGCAAACTCTTCTGTTTGCAAACTGAGTTGTTGGTGAACAGAAGCATTCATGAACCAAGATATCACTGTAGTTTTAAGTCTCTATTCAGACTATGCTGCAGCTTTGCAAATGCAATACTTGGTTACCCAACCTTATTTAGCAAATGTTAGTCCTGCCTTGATGAATAATTACATAGTCATACAGTGTTTACCCCTAGTGTCATATAGCTGTCATTACACTTTAGATTAACAGCTCTGTCAACCTATACTACATTGCCAAAAGTATTGGTACGCCTGCCTTTACATGCCCATGAAATGTAATGGCATCCCAGTCTTAGTCCATAGGGTTCAATATTGAGTTGGCCTACCCTTTGCAGCTATAACAGCTTCAACTCTTCTGGGAAGGCTGTCCACAAGGTTTAGGAGTGTGTCTATGGGAACGTTTGACCATTCTTCCAGAAGTGCATTTGTGAGGTCAGGCACTGATGTTGGACAAAAAGGCCTGGCTTGCAGTCTCTGCTCTAATTTATCCCAAAGGTGTTCTATCAGGTTGAGGTCAGGACTCTGTGCAGGCAAGTCAAGTTCCTCAACCCCAAACTTGCTCATCCATGTCTTTATCGACCTTGCTTTGTGCACTGGTGCACAGTCATGTTGAAACAGGAAGGGGCAATCCCCAATTTTCCAAAATGTCTTGGTATGATGACGCCTTAAGAGTTCCCTTTACTGGAACTAAGGGACCAAACCCAACCCCTGAAAAACAAACCGACACCATAATCCTCCCTCCACCAAACTTTACACTTGGCACAGTGCAGTCAGGCAAGTACCATTCTCCTGGCAACCGCCAAACCCAGACACGTTCATTGGATTGCCAGACAGAGAAGCATGATTGGTCACTCCAGAGAACACGTCTCTACTACACTAGAGTCCAGTGGTGGCGTGCTTTATATCGCTGCATCTGACACTTTTCTTTGCACTTGGTGATGTAAGGCTTGGATGTAGCTGCTCGGCCATGGAACCCCATTCCATGAAGCTCCCTACGCACTGTTGTTGTGCTAATCTGAAGGCTACATGAAGTTTGGAGGTCTTTAGCTATTGATTCTGCAGACAGTTGATGACTTCTACGCACTGTGTGCTTCAGCATGTGCTGACCCCGCTCTGTTATTTTACGTGGCCTACCACTTCATGGCTGAGTTGCTGTTCCCAGTTGCTTCCACTTTGTAATAATATCGCTAACAATGGACCGTGGAATATTTAGTAGCAAGGAACTGTCATGGATGGACTTATTGCACAGGTGGCAACCTATCACGGTACCACGCTTGAATTCACTGAGCTCCTGAAAGCGACCCATTTTTTCACAAATGTTTGTAGAAGCAATCTGCATGCCTAGGTGCTTGATTTTATACACCTGTGGCCATGGAGGTGATTGCACCACCTGAACAATAATTTGGAGGCGTGTCCCAATACTTTGGCCAATATAGTGTATCTCCCCACTTTTAGTGTATGTAAACCCTAACAATAAACTTCTCTTATTTGCTCTCTTTTGGCCTGTTCAATATACTATTGGAAGTGCTTTGTTAAATCTGCTTGATAAGTGTAAGAAATAAGTGTAAGAAACGGTCAGAAAATCGGAGATGTCCTGTGTGCACTTCCTGTTTTCTATCAAACAGCCCTCCTTGTTTTCATCTTAGACTACAGAATGATTAGCCCTTATATTGAAAGATCTGAGGGTGGGAGTGGCTGAGTAGTTTAGCAACAGACAACTAGGCAGGGCTGACACCACACACCACCACAGTGCGCAAAAATGCTGTGTCATCAGCCCACAACAGGATTTGGATGCTGGGTTTATTTCTGGAAGATAAACAGATATTTTATTGTATTTGCAGGGTTTTTAAAGAGATAAAACATGGGGAAAAGTACATGGATTGCAGAAGTATATTATATGTATTTATTTATTGCCTTCATTGATTTTAAATACCTAGGGTACAGATAGGACTATTACATGTGGGCTCCTTTCTAAACATAAGCCTTGCTGTCTATCAAATCCTCTACCAAACACCCGTATGCTAATGAACTTACCTTCAGAGTTTACATAGCATACAGTTTAAAACAAGCTCTGGATCAGTGCTGGTCTTTTCTCAATGAGATGATTGTGTCCACCCTTTGGCTGTGTAATCTGCATGCTCCATCTTTCCGTTAATGGGCCTCTTCCGTTTTACCTCCTGCTGTTCATAAAGCTTTCATCAGACAGCAAGGAAGAGGAAAAAACAACAGATTCTTATAGTACTTTTTTTAAATATAAAATTGCTAAGTATTAAAACTTTCCTAAAAACACATGTAGTGCTACTCCCATAGGAGCTGTAGGTATACTGTTCAGGTCCTCCCCATAAGCTTTGCCCCACAGCCAGGCACATAGGCTTATTTACATGTTTCTTCAATGACCACTCTAGGGGGTGATGTTTTTGTTTTTTTTATTTTTGGAGAATTTGGATAGGGTTGAGGGAATTAGGTGGGATACTCCAAAAACAAAAACTATGTAAAACGTGAGGACTTAGGTTTTCTTCAGAATCAGCTTTATTAAAGTGTGTGCTTGCAGTAAACAGTAAACTGTAGCTTTAACCACTAGCCTACAGGGCACTTATACCCCCTTCCTGCCCAGGCCAATTTCCAGCTTTCAGGGCTGTCACACTTTGAATGACAATTGCGCGGTCATGCAACATTGTGCCCATATGAAATTTTTATCATTTTTTTGAGACAGATAGAGCTTTCTTTTGGTGGTATTTAATCACCTCTGGGATTTTTATTTTTTCTTAAACAAACCAAAAACCACTGAAAATTAAAAAAAACAAAACGTTTTTTCTTAGTTTTTGTTATACAATTTTGTAAATAAGTGATTTTTCTCCTTCATGATGTGCGCTAATGAGGCTGCAGTGATGGGCACTGATAGGCTGCACTGATGGACACTGATAGGTGGCACTGATGGGCACTGATGAGGAGGCACTGGCAGGTTGCACTGATGGGCATTGACAGGCATCACTGATGGGCACTGAAAGGCAGCACTGATACATGACACTGATACATGACACTGCTATATGGCACTGATAGGCAGCACTGACTGGCACTGATAGGCGGCACTGCCTGGCACTGTTAGGCGGCACTGACTGGCACTGTTAGGCGGCACCGACTGGCACCGATAGGCAGCACTGACTGGCACTGACTGGCACTGATAGGCGACACTGACTGGCACTGATAGGCGGCACTGACTGGCACTGTTAGGCGGCACTGACTGGCACTGTTAGGCATCACCGACTGGCACCGATAGGCAGCACTGACTGGCACTGACTGGCACTGATAGGCGACACTGGCTGGCACTGATAGGCGGCACTGATTGGCAGCACTGATAGGTGGCACTGATTGGCATTGATAGGTGGCACTGACTGGCACTGATGGGTGACATTGAAAGGCAGCTCAGATGGGCACTGATATGTGGCATTGATGTGCACTGGTATGCACTGATATGTGGCATTGATGTGGCACTGATGGGCACTGGCACGTGGCACTGATGGGCACTGGCACTGATGAGCACTGACAGGTGGCACTTCTGGGGCCACACTGATCATCAGGGCACACTGATCATCAGTGCCCTGAGGATCAGTATACATGTCCCCTCCATGGAAAGCCGATTACCGGCTCTCCTCTCGAGCTGTCAGCGTGACAGCTCGAGAGGAGAGAAATGCCGATAACCGGCATATCCGTGTTTACATGGGATCAGCTGTGATTGGACACAGCTGATCACATGACCAAGCCGACATCTTCGGCTCTTTCCGTGATCCGCTGTGTCCGAGGGACACAGCGGACCGGCGATTGCCGCACTGCGCGCTCCCTGAGCCGCGCATGCGCAGTGAGAATGGTAGGACGTCATATGACGTCCTATCAGAACAAGAGAACCACCTTGCGCCCGTCATTGTACTATAGGGCGGGTAGAAGGTGGTTAAAGCAGAATTCCGGGCAAAAACTTCTTTACATGTCCTTGTTGCTGATTTCCTACCTTCACAGAATATGTCATCCATCTTCTGGCTCAATTAGTAATTGCTCTGAATTAGCCTATTTATTTTCAAATCAAACTGTTTAGTCTCTTTGGTTTTCTCTTTGTAAGGCCAGTGGCCTCTTATTGCCCCAGCCACTGGTCTTGGCACATCCCTTCTGTAGTTCTTTCTCCAGGAAGCAGTGGTGTAATTCAGCCCCACTTGCAGTGGATGGTGGACTGGGACTCTCAAAGACATTTAACATGTACAGGCCTAGTGTACCGACCCACATTCACTACAATTCCCTGTGGTTGAAGGGAACTGTAGTTCCTTTTAATGTAGAGAGAGAGGAGAGGATATGATGTAATCCCTGCTGTTACACCTTCTCCTTGGCAGAGCAGATGCTGTTATCTTTGAATTTCAGAGATGAGGTCATGAAAATTCAATTAGACTTTTCTCCTACATGGTAAGGATGTTAAAAAATAGTATTAACTGTTTAGTGTTTTGTGTAGGGGGGTGTACTAATCGGTGATTTTTTTTGCCTATTCCAGAGTTCTTCTTTAAGTTAGTAGTTAACTGTAAATCTCTTTCTTGGAGCCACAAGAGCAGTCTCTTTTAAATAGAAGATTAGATGGACAAAGCTCTTCAGGACACAAGCCGGTGTCCCCTTTAACTAGACCCACAGCTGACTCTCTAGCACCAAAGGAGTGGCAAAAGCACATAGGTACCCATGATCTCTTAGAAGCATCAGTACTCACACAAGGCCCAAGGACAGCTGGTTGCCTCCTTCCAACTTCCAAGTGACATCTTGCTCTGGTGCTACCAGACCAGATCTACAGCAGATAGCCCCCCTCAGGCAGCTCTCTTTAGCTCCAGGATCCCAGCATCCAGGCTTCCAGGTCACCTACCTGAGGCTTCACAACCACACATAGCAGCATTACCAGGAAGGGCAGCATGCTCCCTCAAGGCTGGGCTAATCCACTCCAGGAAAAGACCCCAAGCTCAGTGTGCTGATCATATATATATATATATATATATATATATATATATATATATATACAGTCTCCCAGCATGCCCTCAGAACCTGCCCCTCTGGGATAGGCTAGGATATTCATTCTGCCATCTCTGCCATCTGCATAGCTCTACACCTATCATCCAGACTGGCAGAACTTGAACACACTGAGCAGACCTCACAAAAAAATGGCAACCGTCCCAACTTATAACCAGCCTTAGCAGTAAGGTGCGTTTGGAAGAGCAATGCACATCACAAACAAAGAAAGGATTTCCCAGCAACACTTACCAGCCATCCTGTAAAACAACCAATTTGGCCCTGTCTAACAGTTTGCATTAAAAACAAAGGGTTTTGTTTGCACACATTTGCAAACACATGCGAAAGCCAGGGTGTTTGTATCTGAGTTGCTTTACTTCCCAATGAAATTCAATGCAAAAGCAACTAAAAGGAGGATAATACAATTCAGAAGCAGCTCAATACACCTCAGAAAGTACAACTCTATGAGCAACTCAAGAGTACTTGAAAGAATACTGCATTTGACTTGCTTCTGAGTCTGCACCCTGTGTACCTGGGCCCTAAGGCTGCCCATAAATCAATCAATTTCAATGATTTAAATGATTTGTTGTGCTATAAGGTGATAACAACCACCTCAGGCAGCTAGAACTGCTCGGTATTGCTCAAGTTAACTTTGTCTCTGAGGCAGGTTGTGGAGCACAGAGCAAAGCTGTGAAAAGAGTGTGTGACTTGAAGTTGGCATAGCTCAATGGGTGTAGTTAAGTCAGTATGATTTAATCATTATGATCATGGTAAAACAGAGCCAGGTTTTTGTTTACAATATGATAATGAAAATGGGTTTACTTCTTATATATTTTTTATGCAAATGATACAGAATGCTATTAAACCCCTCCTATTCTCAATCTATACCTCTTCTCTCTTTGATTGCCTCCCATGACTTTCAATACCATTTCTATGCTAATGACACCCAAATCTATCTCTCTACCTTTCAGCTCACTCCATCAGCCTCCTCATGCATCACTAATCTCCTAACAAACATATCAGCCTGGATGTCACACCACTTTCTGAAAATTAATCTATCCAAAGCAGAGCTCATAATATTTCCTCCCCTACCTGCCCCTTCCACTGACTTCTCTGTCAAAGTCAACCATCAACCCATCCCCGCATGCCAAGGTGCTAGGTGTAATCCTGGACTCTGGACTATCCTTTCAGTCCCACATTCAATCGCTGTCCAATGCTTGCCGCCTCAAGCTCCGCAACATCTCCAAGCCCCTTCCTAACCAATAACACCACAAAGATTCTAACTCACTCCCTGGTCATCTCCCGCTTTGACTACTGCAACTCCCTCCTCACTGGCTTGCCTTTGTATAGGCTATCCCCCCTCCAGTCCACCATGAATGCTGCTACCAGACTCATCCACCTTACCAAACGTTCAGTGTCTGCCATCACTCTTTGCCAGTCCCTCCACTGGTTTCTGCTCACCCAACAAATAATATTCAAGATACTTACAACTTATAAAACCATCCACAACTCAGACCCTAGTTACATCACTAAACTGGTCTCAAAATATCAACCAAATCGTTCTCTTCGTTCCTCCCAAGACCTCCTGCTCTCTAGCTCACTTGTCACCTCCTCCCATGCTCGACTCCAGTATTTCTCCAGAGCCGCTCCCATCCTCTGGAACTCCCTTCCCCACTGTGTCTATCTCCATCTCTGTCCACTTTTGGACGATCCCTGAAAACTCCTCTCTTCAGAGAGGTCTATCCTGCCCCCACCTAACAACTCTATATGTATTTTGTCCATCACCCCATCCCCCACAGTTATTACCTTTTGTATCTCTCAACCCTCCCTCTTAGATTGTAAGCTCTAATGAGCAGGGTCCTCTGAATCCTCCTGTATTAATTTGTATTGTAATTGCACTGTCTGAACTTATGTTCTAAAGTGCTGCGTAAACTGTTCGCTCTATATAAATCCTGTATAATAATAATTAAAGTGTAAGTGCAGGCAAGTAGTTGAAAACAGTTGGAATACATGGTTGTGAACTATATGACCTGAAAAAAATTCTGTAGTTTTGGGTAGACTTTTTTTTCTAATCCAGACAAATTTATACTCTGGGAGATGGCCTACTGTCATGGTGGTGCCATGTACTATTTAGTACATTTTCAAAATGTACTATGTACTATTTAACCTCCCTGGCGGTATGATTATTTCAGATTTTTGGTGCTGAAAGTGGTAACATTATTTTGCATGAAAATATGTAGTTTTTTTTTATTGTAGGCTGTAATATTTAGGAATAACTCACTGAAATCTGTCCGAACAAGAGTCTATTAAACATCCCGGGTATGATAAAATTTGAAACACAAAATCATAAATTATAATTTAATAAATAATCATAAAAAAAATAATAATACATTTAATTCAATAATATAATCAAGCCAAAAACACTGAAATTTGAAATATAGCGCCAAGTTTGCACATCACTGAGCAAAGTCGCAAAATTGTTTTCAGTGTCTGATGACTAATTTCCCAAGGAATAATTATCACTCAATTCTGCAAGTGGTTCTGATTTACTATCGCTGTTCTCTAGCTGGTCTAAACCCGCTTTTGACCTAAAGGGACGCTTTTTGGACGCCATGGACTTTTCTAAGTTTCCAGGCAGAAAGAACAGTCAAAATGCAGACAGGGGATAGGACAAAACACTAGGAACAAAATGTATGTGAAATGGTTTAAAACATCAATGTTTTACTATGTAAAATTCATTTTGAAAAAAATGACTGTTTTTTTAAATTTTCAAATTTCCCGCCGCCGCCGCCGCGGCGCCCGTATGTCCCGACGTCACAGGGCCTGGAACACAGAAGCCGGATGCCGGCATCAGCCGGAGGAGATGGTCGGGGACGTTGCAGGGGACACATCGCGGGAGCGAAGGACAAGGTAAGCTCTGCAGGGACTCCCTATGCAGCGCCGCATGGTAAGCCCGAGTGTAGCTGGGGGTTACCGCTTTTGGTACAGAAACTTTACCCCGAGCTAGAATCAGGAATACCGCCAGGGAGGTTAAATAACAAAACTGTTATACAACACTAAACCTGTTATGTAACCTTTACATTTTTTTATTATATTCAAAAGTCAGAATAAAGGAAAATTAGTTATACAAAAAATAATCACGCGTGTTTAAAGTTTAAGTTCATCTTTTCACCAAAAAAAAAAAAGGTGAGCTAACCCTCCCCACTACTTCAGTGCCTGCTATACTTACTTTCATGGATGCTTAGTTCTCACTGGCCGCATAGCCAGTGCAGTGGTCCGGGGATTTGAAAGCTGTGGTATTTTTCTGGGATCGATCATAGTGATTCTGATTGGTCAAAGTGGTCATGTGCCGTGCTTACCAATCAGAACCACTCTGATCACAAAAAGACTGTGGCTTTCAAATCCCTGGACTGCTGCACCAGGTATGTGTCTACACATAACTGTCTAGTAAAAGCTTTTACTGTCTAGTAAAAGCAGGGGATTGGAGAGATTGTATGTCATATGTTAGTTCACAATACATTTTTTGTGAAAATGTGAATTTACACTTTAAGGCCTCCTGCACACAGGCATACTTAAGCATAAAATATGTCTAGCATAAAAACATGTTGTTTTCCCCTGGGGAGCCGCAGGCGGGATGTACAGCTGGCCATAGCTATATTGGCATTTATCCTTGCATGTGCATATGTCAGCAGGTTAAAATTAGTTACATACAGTGCCTTGAAACAGTATTCATACCCCTTGAAATTTTG